AGGACAAGTGTCGAGATTCACGTCAAACGGTGAAAGGTAGCAATCAAAAGAAGTGTGCATATCAAGTTCAGGGGTAGAAATCCACTATCAAGAATGATAAAAAGAATATCTGCCTGATTTTAAAATTAATCTCAGCATATCGAGACAGTCTACAAATGGAAGGGTATATAAGATTGTTAAGCCAAAGTTTGAGAATTCTGAAATCAGGATACTTGGTTAATTTTGTCAAGGATGATCTTGCAATGGGAATGGTCTCTTAACTCGGTGTAATTTTAAGGCTGCATTGCTAAGGGACTAGTAATAGTTAAGTTGGGGGTGTGATAACTCTATAATTTAATGCCTTAAGGGCATCATTTCAGGGGTATTATAGGCCTTAGAATAGTCAAATTGTCCCCTTTTCTCAGTTAAATTCAATATTGTGACATTAGAGGATTTCAGTGCAAATCTTGTGGAAAACTGGAGAAGTTTCATGGCTGAAATGCAGCTTTTGGAAAGTTGGTGAGAAGTCCAACTGAAAGAGGGGGTGTTTTTGTGAAAAATTGGGCACAGGAGGGCGCCTCCTATCTGCTAAACCTAGAATGGCGCCCCTCCTACTATATTAGCATACCCCCCTCTCTTTAGAAAACCCTAGGGCACCTTTCCACTCATTCTTTTCATCCTTACCAAACCCTAGCCGCCCTTAGCTGCTTAATCTCCACCATTCATTCTAAGGCACTCTCTTTTTAGCTTTCTAACCCTTAGGGCGCCACTTAACTTCTAATCATCACCATTAAGCTTTTAGCCACTAGATCTCAGCCCTCTATTCCACTCTTTATCTCAGCCATTCACTCTAGGGTGCCACACATTCCTTTTAATCTTCACCTTTTATCCCTAGGTGCCCAAATCTCCACCGTCCAATTCTGGGCATCAAAATCTTAGCCCTACATAATATTGGGCGCCCTCTCGTTCTCTTCTCAGCCTTAGGATTACCTTATAACCATCCTAACCCTTCATTCAAAACCCTAGGGCACCCATATTTTTTCTAAAACCCAGTTGTCGGCCCTCTCTTTCTCTTTAATCCTAATTTTATCCACCTTTCTTTATAAAAAGGACCCAAGGGGCCCTGAGAAGGGGTTGGATTCTGCCCTAAGTAAGACGAAAGGTTGATCTTGATAAGTTTAAGGGTAAAGGAAGAGGAGAACGCGCAGGCAAGAGGAAGTGTTCCTGCTTGCAATTCGCCAAAGCCACTACTGCCACCTTCGGAATCGGATCCCAACCATTTTAATTCAGTTTTAGATTTAACTTCTATTGTTTAATTTCAAGTCTGATTTTTCCTTCGTGCAAATTTACTTTTATTCAGTTTAATTTTTGCTTTGCTTCTTTTCTACAGATCTGGAATTCGGCTAGGTGAGACGAAAGGCGTAGATCGAGAAGTTTGAGGGTCAAAGGAGAGATCTAGAGACTAAGACCTTTTATCGGATTACAATTTATTTATTTATTTAATTAATTTAATTAATTTATTTATGTTATTTATTTATTTTTATTCACTTTTCACTTTCAATAGTGTTCGGATTTTATTTTTAACGAATTTCAATTTAATTAATTAAAGTTTTGTGATTCTGCAACTTCCCTTTGTGTTCTTTTATTCATATTAAAGTTTGTAACGATTTTTCCCTCGCTTCCCTGTGAATACGAGTAGTTCTCACCATTTTACAGCGTTTTTAATTGTTATATGAAATAGAGAAATTTACAAATAGTAAAACTAGTGTTTCAAAGTGGTTAATGATATGCTTTCGGATACACCAAATGTGGATCTTCTCCGCTGGAACAATGATATTCTTCTCTGTTGAACGATGATAAATAGCATTCGGGTGAGAATAATCCTTTAATCCTTCCCTCATTAAGGAAGGGTTAAAACATAATTTACAAAATGGTGCAAAATGGGTTCTATTTGAGTGAGAGTTAACGGAAGGGTACCGCAAGACAATATCTAAACAATAGGGGTACCACATGTCAATTCGCTAAATAGTAGGGGAAGTTTAAGAGATTTACCCTTTTTTATGTGGTATTATATTCCTATAGATAGTTATATATAAGAAGAAGAAATGAATTGTTACAAAGTGTAAGGGGCCAGAACTAGAAGAATTAGGGGTGAACCAAAAAGGACATGGGTTAGAAGAGTGAAATGATTTGAGGGATCATAATTTAAAAATGGATATGGCAATAGACAAAATGGAATGGCAAAATAGAACCCATATAGCCAACCCATGTCCTAAATCATAAATTAGGTGTACTTTACTAAGATTACCTAGTGATCCTACATCAATTTGGTATAGAGCATTGTTTTTGCTAAAATTCTCGTTTCAGTTCAACATTTCTATACCACTTAGGGGTGGTATTTAGTATAGTATTCTTGATTGTTGTGTAGGGAACTTTCCTACTTGATTTGGTTAGTAAGCATGCATCATCATCATGTGCACCATCTAAACAAAGAGGACAGTTAAGTAGTTGACCTCATCACAAGCAAGATGAAGTTGATGGCATATTATTTTCTTATGATATATGGTGATGGTGCATTGGATGGGATTGAGAGGATTCATCAACTGTGTTATGACTTACTTCACGAGTACCAATCCAAATCCAAGAATAAGGAAGTTGGACATGGTAGTGAAACTTTAGTTAATACAACTTGCACTTCTGAAAATGTTGATATTGAAGAACAAGATCTATTTTCCAATTACGACTTGTTTGTTAATAAGAGTTCAATTATGTAATAGTGAAGTCAGAGTTGAACTATTATTTGGAAAAAAATGTGCTGCCTAGAACTTAGAACTTTGATATTCTAGCTCGGTAGAAGTCAAATTGACTCAAGTATCATACCTTACAAGTAATTGCCATGGATGTTCTAACTATTCTTATTTCCATAGTTGATTCAAAATCTACCTTCAGCACTGGGGGAAGGCTAATAAGTCCACATCGTAGTAGACTTCATGTCAAGACATTGGAGGCATTAATGTGTGCTCAAAATTGGTTGGCATATGAAATTCAAGGTAACATTATTTAAATTGAAGATTTATTTATCGAAAAAATTGAACGTTCATCATCATTTCACCTTTATAATTATTATTTTTTTGTTTTATGTAGATGCTCCTCTTTGTGAGGATCCTTTCACTTAATAGTGATGATTTTGACATAGATGATGAGGTATATGATTTAAAATGATTATATTTAAATTGAAGATTTATCTATCGAAAAATTGAACGTTCATCATCATTTCACCTTTATAATTATTTTTTTTTCTTTTATGTAGATGCTTGTCTTTGTGAGGATCCTTGCACTCAATAGTGATGATTCTAATATAGATGATGAGGTATATGGTTTAAAATGAATATTGTTGAATTTTAAATAACTCAAAATCATTTGTTTAATTTAGTCTCCATATACTTATTCTTGATTTTTAATTGTTTTAGAAAGGTAAGGCTGTGTATTGAAGTAGGAGATTGTTTCATTGAGATGGAGGGCTTAATTTTTGAGCTGTTAAGACTTGAGATGGAAACTTATTTAATAATGCTTGTTGAGAAGAATTTGCTCTCAGCTCATGAATTCATGATATGAGAGTGAGAGAGTTTCTTTGTTACAATTTACAAAGAATATGGTGCTAAAAGTTTTTGTTATGTTCTTGTTATGAAAATATTATGTGACATTTTGATAGAGCCATTGGTTTTAAATTTAACTTTTCCTCTGGCATGACTCTGAAATATGTTTACAATATTTTTGCCTGTGGGTTCAACCACGAAATAAATCGTTTTCCCTGACTTTGAGATTTGAATAGATTTTGTACTCCTGCAGTTAGCATTTCTTTTTATTTTGCAATTCTACGAGGAGCTAGTCCATGGAGAAGGCATGTGTGTGCAGCGTGCAGTGCTTCCAAATAAGCCCATGAAAGGATATGCAAAAGAGGTATGTGGGATTTTTATTTGGCACTTCATTACTTCTTTTCTTTTTTTCCTCATGTTTGTTTCTTGAAAAAATGATGGTGTCAATATGTCTTCCCTTTTAACAATTATTATTATTTTTTTTTTGCTTTATTCAGGTTAATATGCTGAGATTTTTCTTATTTATAATGTTCTGATCTTCTTATGGGTGTTAATTATGGGTTGGTAAGTTTTTAAGTTGTTATTTTTCAATTAACCCATGGGTGTTAATTTTCTTTTGATATTTCCTCAGCTTTTTGGCTTTGCTTGGTTCTTCTACCTCCTTTATCAATGTGTAGTATTTTTTTTAATCAATATATTAATGCTAGCTTGTGAGCTGGTCGTTGTCCCTAATCTCTTTGTAATCCTTTGACACATGTACTGAATTCAATTGACCTACATACCACAAATCCCGTCCCACTAATATGCTCTATCAAGAAAAATTTACATTTACACTACATGTAATTTCCTAGTAATAGATATATGTTATTGATCCCTACATTGTGGAGTGTGGAAATCAACATCCCTTGTGAATGTAGTTTTCATGGTGTATGCATGATGTGTGGTGAGGCAACAGAAGAGGTAGATAATTTATTCATACATTGCATCTTTGCAAGGAGTTTATGGGTATTTGGGATACAACTACATTTCTCAATGTCTTATCAAGTTTACCACATTGGTGGAGGTGGGAGATGAAAACACTAGAGACTCTAAAGAGCACATGATGCTCCCTTCTTTTCCCTACTTTTTCCTTCAAACCAAACACAACTTAAACTTATGCAATTAGGGCATCTCTCCATTCCCCTGTCCCAGGTTCATTGATTGCGGGGTAGGGATGTAGCCGGGAATGAGACTTGAATCCTTGCCCTGATATCGGGGACGGGCTAAGGGATTTTAGCCACGGGGTGGAGATGGGGAAGGGGTGCCCCGCCCCATACCCGCCCCGTTGCCATAAAGGCAAAGATCCGGTCTCTCAAATCGGTCCAAAACCGTAGTTCGAAAATCTTCAGCCCTATTCGTACAAAAGCTCGGTTTGGGTCGGTCCACTTTCTAGTTTGCTCGGTTTCTTGGAGGAGGGGTCTTCTCATTCCTTTTTTGTTCTCTTCTCTCGATCAACTTCGGCCTTCACTCTTCGCTTCTCTGGTTTCGCTCTCCTCCTTCAGTCCTTCATTCACACGCTCGCCATGGGAGATAGCCAGTATTCCTTCTCTCTCACCACCTTCAGGTACGCAGTGCACGCCTTTGTCTTTGTCCACTTGCGCCTTTCTTCCCTTCTTTCTGCAATCTAACGATGCATACATTCTCTCCGAAACAGTCCTTCCGGAAAGCTAGTTCAGATCGAGTATGCCCTAATGGCTGTCGGATCCGGCCAGACGTCTCTCGGAATAAAGGGTATGTAGACTCTCTCTATGCTCACTCTTTTCGATTCGTCCTTTTTACAATAAAATGGCTTCTGTTTCTCGCCCTAAAATTTCAGCTTTGCCCATTACCCTCCCCTTGTTAGCTGCTTCTAGGGTTTCAAGATTCAGAGCAGGTTGTGTGACTTGCTCCAATTCAGGCTTAGGTCTTTATTATAAAATGCAAATGGTCAGATCAGATGGATTGGGCCCAGATGTTCAACCAGATGGCGTGATTCTATAAGAGCTTGTACTAATTCTGTTGTGTACCCTAGCTTTTTGCAGATTTTTTTTAGTGATGGTATTCTCAGGTGCATCGAATGTAGATTCCAACATGCTAGGTTGTTGCTTTTGTCTTGGTGGTCAGCAGCTTAAGAACTGAGAAGAAAATGGTGTTTTATGTTTTGACGTCTTATTGTCATATTTGGTTGAAATGCAGGAACTCCTGACATATTATGATCATATAACAGCCTCAAATAAAATGAAAAGTTAAAAGAAACTTCGGAAGACACATTTGGTTGGAAGCATTACAAAGAAAACTTAAAAATGTATAATTCAAAGATAAAAGAGACAAGTTAAAAATGTAATGGTTTGTTTTGAGACATCACGCCTCACGTGGGTTGTCCCATCAACGATGGTAGGCCTAAGGTGTTTACGTGCAGCAATCTTTGCATTTAGACTTCTGATAAAAAAATCTTTGCATATAGATCATAATCCACAATGTAGGGCTAACCTATGAGTTCCGCTTATTTCAGTCATTTGATTATCTCAGATGTTTTATTCATTGCACCTTTTGATACTTATGATTTTACTGTGGATTAATTGAATGTTGATATGGTCCAGATGAGGTTTATATATGCCTTAAACCCAATGAATGACTCAATAGCTAATCTATAAGTTGGTTCTTGGAAGTGTCAGCATTGAATGAAATGGCAGTAAATAAAACATGACTAATAGGATATGCTACATCATATGTTTGATGATTAGGGTTCTTGTTCTTCTAACTTATAAATCTTGGTTGCCAATCCCATTTGCCTGCTGTTTGCCCTTAGCATCGAACAGATATGTGTTTACCACCCTTGACTAGCTAGAAAGACAAAAAGAGGAAAAAAAGAGGGTGGATAATGCTCAAAAGTGTCAAAGCTTGTATCCAACAATATAGTTTCGGATTTTTGTTCATAAAAAAAACAATATAGTTTGGGATTTGGGCTTTGGGGATGTTTCATTGTCAGGATTTTCTTCTGCTTGAATACAAACTATAAGCAATGAAAAGAACATTGAGAAGTTAAATTGATCCTGCTCTCTGGATAAGGTTTTATATACTGGAGTCATTTTTGAGACATTAATTTTCTTTTTCAAAAATTTTCAAGACGTTATTTTTCAAGCGGACTTCTTTTAATATTCTTTCTTTCTTTTGTGCAAATTCTTTTCTAAGTAGCAAGTTTGGAGTTTAAACAATTTAGCCCATATAGGACTTCAACCTACAAGGCTGCAACCTTTGTGATAATAGCACAAAACTTTAACTAATGAATTAATATTCTTTTTGAAATATTTTGTTCTTTCAAAATTTAGATTACTTCATTCTTGTATATTGAAGTGTTCATATATTTTTTCAAACTGGAGCCTCACTTCATCCAGATGTGCAGCTTGTCTTGCATCCCAGTCTCAGGAACCCCTTGCTACCCTCTTGTTCTTTTGTTGTGCTTCCGCTCCCCTCTTGTTTTTAAAATATCGAAGCAGCTTTGCTTCATAAAAAGAAATATATATGGTAGTTTATGATATAGATATATGAAACTTTAATTCTATGATCTAGAGTTTGGAGTGTTATTTTGTAATTCTTTTATGCAATTTCTGCGTGCAATGCAATTTAAATGTACCATTTATAAAAAAAATTCAACTGTACTAGTTATACCCAAGTAGGAGATGCATGTTTTATAAATTCATTATATTCTATAAATTTGTAAGCTCATTGTAACAACTTAATTGCAAAATCTTAGTTGGTCTTTCCTCATCCATAGTGTTTTAAAAGCGCAAGGCATAGGAGCCAATTTGCACCCGAGGCACAAGGTGAGGTGTGCACCTTTTTGTAGCAAGGAGCAAAAATACAAAAAATGCTATTAATAAAAAATATAAACTTAAATTTTAAAATAAATGTTTTAAAAAACCTATCATCTAATATTAAAATACCTAAACATGACATGTAAAGCGTATTCAAATGAAAATTTAAAAATAATATCAAACATATAAAACATTTCCAATAATGTAAAACCCACAATCTTTTTTTTTTTGTTTTTTGCTCAATTGCATTACTTCAAGTAGCTAATGTAATGTAAAACATATTACATTCCTAATTGTACGAGCCGCCTTCAAGTAGCTATCTACCACGCCCTTTGAGGCAAGCCCAAACAAGTTAAATGTTGTTCATTCATTCATTATATATATATATATATATATATATATATATATATATATTAAAACAAGGAAGTCTAAAAATTTACTTTTTTTTTTAATTTTTTAATCCATGTCATTTTTGAAACTACCAACTAGAAACTCTACTTTCCCCCCAAAAAAATCTTCATAATCTCTCTCTCTCTTCCTCTCCCACACACATTCCAATAACCTAAATAATCCAATATCCTAAAATTTCTCCTAAACAACCTCCCCCACTATCCTCAACTTTCTCCCAAGGTATCTCTAATTTAGTAGAGAGTTTCTCTCCTAAATTATCTCTATTTCTTATTCATCTTCTCTCCCACTTTTTATCTACATTTATCTAAAGAAAGTTTGAATAAAAAATTTAAGAATTATTTAAATATTCTAACAAAATTATATAATAACTTTAAAGTATATATTAAAAAACAAAAAATAATTATAATCAATTTAATAATATTCATATTATTAATAATTATGTATTTATACAAAATTCATTACGAAATTATGTACAAAAATATAAATTATGATTTTCTGGATTATTCAATCTAAATGTTATTCAAATGATAAAAATCTAACATTAAAAATGGAATATTATTTAAATATTTCAATAACTAAATATCTTAAATAACAAAATATTAAAATTAATTTTTCAAATCAATCAATAATATATTTTAAATAGTTATTGAATAACTTTCAATTATAATAAATAGATTAAGATTTTAAATATTTAGTTAAATAACTAAATATTTTAAATAATGAAATATTTAACATAACTAGATTTGAAATAGTTAAAATAACAAACTTATGTATTAATAGTACTATAATTTTATGGATTATTAAATTCAATAAGTAATTAATATTTTAAAATTTAAATAATTTTTCAATAAATAAATAATATTATAAATAACTAATTTCATTTATACCGATTAATAATTCTAGAAAATTACTTTCAAAAAAATTATTGTTTATTAATAATAATTTTAAAAACTTAATCTTTATTTATTATATATTTATCTATACTAAAGTTCATATGTATTGTATTTTAGTAATTATTTATTGTTTTATGTGATAAATATATTTCCAATAATTATGTGTAAATCTATTTTTGTTTTGCTATTTAATAGAGAATTTTCAATAATTATTGGAGTTTAAACTACTATTGTTTAGCTTTTTAATTTTAATTTATTTGTATTTTCGCTATAAATTTTTTAATAATTATTGGAGATTAAACTATTGTTCATGGGTTGGTTCGGTTCATTTATAGTTTGTATGGCCAACCAAATTGACCTGGTTAGGTTGGGGGGTTGGTCACTCAAGTTATATCAGTTTGGTTGAACTTTTGCTTTGGTTGGTCTTTTCAAATGATTTAAAATAAAAAATTAAATTTAAAAATTAAGTTTAAATAAAAAAAAATTACAATGGTGTTATTGGAAATAAATTTAAAAATTAAATTGTCGAACCAAAGCTGACAGGAAATACTAGAAATCAGGTTGGTCATTTTCATTAGTTTGTTTCGGAATGGCAACAGGGTGGGGTGGGGATGAGGAGCCTCTTCCCATCCCTGTCCCCTTGAAAAACCCCATCCACGTCCCCATCCCCATCGCCGCTAATGGGGTTAAAACTATCCCCATCCCCGCGGGGATCCCCTCTCCCCGCGATTCCTTATAATGTCAACTATTATGTTTTCGTTTTTTATTTAATTTAAAAATAAAATAAAATGATTAAAATTTACAATCCTATTAGGTGGCAAGTTTCCACAGGGATTGGGGAAATGGGGAAACTTGCCATCCCTAAGTTTGATAAACAATCCTATCTAATTTTTTTTTTTTGATAAACGAGAGTAGTTTTATTAATTCAAAAAATTGTAGTACATTCAGTCTTGGAAGAGGCACGAGGTGTTACCTCCCCCTAGGACTGAGTCATAAACACTAAACAAACACAAGCCAGAAACACAGTTACAAAGTGGCCCAAAACAGATCTCCCCTTGACACCCCTTGCTTGGCCAAAGAATCAGCTATTGCATTTGCTGATCTGCTGACCCACTGAAACCTGACTGACATATTCCTTGTCAGCCATTTAACTTTCTTTAACAGATCCCTGTAGCCCCAACAAGTTGTCTCTGGACTTGTCAACCAGCCCACTACTACCTTGGAATCCCCTTCTGGCCATCTGTATACCTTGTACCGCTGCTAGTATCTCTGCCCTTACAGAATCACCAACACCCACTGGTCCTGAAAATAGAGACATGTTGCTATCTTTGTCTCTCAGAATCCCTCCTATTCCAGATGTCCCTATCTAAAATTAATTATTGTTATTTTTGTATTGTAAAAAAATTATTAAAAGTAGTATATAAAATATAAATGATTATTAATTATTATATAAAAAAATTGTATACTCTTGCATGTTTCTATTGTTTCTCTTTAACTTAACAAATCCAGTGCATTGCATGGGTCCCCACTAGTATCTTCTTAAAAAGCAATTAAAATTATAAAATCATTATTTTTTTTTTGTGTGAGAACTAATAATTTAATACCATAACATGGACTTTTTTGGGCTTGCCTCGAGGGGCGTGGCATGGGGGTCCATGGGCCAGCCTAGTTGCTAGGTTCAAAAAAAGCAAAAAAGCATCAAATTTTCAAAAAGCACACTCCTGGGCTGAGGCGCATCAGGCACAAGCCTAGACGCACCAGGCGCACACCTTTTGTAAGGGCTGTGCCTAGGACCTAGGCGAGGCGCATACCCTAAAATGCGCCTCGCCTACGCGTGCCTAGGTGCGCTTTTTAAATCACTGCCCATCCATAATTGCTAAATCTAAATACTGTTGGCTCCCAAGCTTTTATTTTTGTCTTTCCCCACCCTTCAATAGAAGAAAAAAGGGAAAAACTAGCTCGTATACATGTCTTCTTTTTTGAGTCAAATGGTTTTATGTTTGATTTATCCATTTATTTACTTAATATATTCATGCATATTGATTGTTACCTCTGCAGCTGCCAATGGAGTCGTTATTGCAACTGAGAAGAAATTACCATCGATCTTAGTTGATGAAGCATCTGTGAGTAATATTTCATCCTCTAGGCATTTATATTCCTTGTTTTAACTTATCAATATTGGTTCCTGAACTCCTTGATGCCCCCCTCTCTCTCTTTTTTTTTTTTTCTTTTTTGAGAATGTAAGGTAAAAATTTTATTGATAAAAAAAGACAAAGTTACAACTCCTTCCTGGAGCCCTGCATCTTGGAAGAGGGCGAATTACGGATTCCAAATAGACTGAGTACAAAGCAGCTGAAATACATTCTGAGATCAATTTGTGCTTAAGGTGTTTCCCTGTCCAACCCCTTTCAAAAAGATCCCAACTCCAGATCCTTCCCATTGTACTCATGAATCAGGAATGAGATGGGGGCTTTCTCTAATTGAATGCTACAAGTGAGGAAGTGCTTACGGGGGGGGGGTGACGGGTGTAATGGTTTCTGTCTTTCTGATGAGGGGGTGGGTGGGAGATCAGGAAAAAGATGGTTGCTTGGATCAAGAAACTTGGTTTAGTGTTGTCATCTTTTTTTGTATTTTATATTAATGTGTTGAATTGTATGGAATAAGGAATTGAGAAGTGACCACGGGTTTATATTGCTTGTTGTATTGGATTGGGGCCACTGCTTAGTGTAATAGTGAAATCTCAGGCTGACAAGTGTGAGAACATGGGTTTGAATCTTAGAGTAGTTTATGCCAAAAAATAATGTAAATGGTTAGGTCTATATCCATTTCACCCCTCCCAAGGCCCAAGTTAGCTGGGTCCAACATTAGGTGATGGGCTAAAGAATTGAGAAGAGAGAGGTCAAACCTAAAGAGTTAAGAGACATTTTGGGCTGATGAAGAAGTTTTTCCTTTTATTTATTTATTTTTTCATGCCATGTGAGGGTCTCTTTCCAGGCAATAACTAAGATATCATGCTAGGTAGGAGGGTAACAAGGGATGTGTTGGGAGTAGAGAGGAAGAAAGTGATGAATCTAGATGCTAACTGCCTGGAATGGTGTGGATGGCTCAATTACAATATCAAAGAAGAGAGGGGTTGAGGGAGAGCTAGAGGCTAATTCTCAGGAGAGAGGGGAAGAGGCTGTAGAGTTTCTGTTATTGATAAAAAAAAAAGAGGCTGTAGAGGCAATATCTCTAAAATATTGAACTATAAATTTCTTGGTTATAGTTCTTAGGAGGAGAGAGGAAGGGGCCAATTTTGTAGGGGGTCATCTGGGTTTTTGTGATCCTCTTTTTGGCGTCAAGAAGGGTCTATTGACTTCCATTTCTTTTTGTGTATATCCTTTTGGTAACTGGTGGAGATTGCTCTGCATTTTTGATTTTGTTGTACCAGGGGTATTTGAGTGGATGTGGCTTTTTTTCCTTCCTTTTCCTGAAGTGCTTGTTACCACTGCATGTGGGGCCATTGGCTGCTCTTGTAATTGCACATTTGACTGGTGGAGTGGCAATTGGTTTTTGATGTTTTCTCAAATGGTGCTTGAAACGATGTCATTTTTGGTGAGCCTCTTGTATTTTCTTTGAGGGGATTGTTGTCATCGTTTTTGTTTTTTGGGGCTCCGATTTCTCTCCTTTTACTGGTCAAACAAAATTAAATGCTGTTTTAGATCAAGTTGCAGAAATGGAAATAAATTCTGCAAGTTTCTGAATTGCACACGCAAGTAGAGATTTCAAATTCACAACCCCCTAAGGAGTTCAAGTATGCACAAGCGGATGGTATTAATCACTTCAGGATCCATCCATTTCCAATTTCTTCCACTTCTGATAAAGATGAAAACAAACTATGAGAATGGAGTTTTCAGTACCCTTTCTGCTGCTAGCTCCAAGTTGTACTAATCCAAATGCAACCATGAACCTAGGTTTTCCCTTGCACATTGGAGAAGCATTTAAACTATTAGCAGTTTTGGTTCGTTTTCCTACTTGGAATTGTACTTTGCATGTTAAAGGCTCTCCACGCATTTGGATCTTCATTTCAATCTTTAAAATTCCTTTTTCGGCCATTATTTTCTGTTTTCTATTACATTTACAATATCTAAATCCTTGTTGCATTAATGCATGTCTTCAAGGACTATTCTCCCCCACCCCCCACCCCCAATCTTCCTATGGTTCCACAACGACAATGCAGCGATTGTCTTTATTTCCTCCTTCTATTCAAAGGAAAGCATGCATGAGAAACTCCTCGAAGTTTTTTGCAACCAGCACTAAGTGGTGAATGATGATAAGTTGCATTTTCCTTTTTTGCAGGTTCAAAAGATTCAACCTTTAACGACAAATATTGGAGTTGTGTATAGGTTCTGTCTATGTCCTACCTCTTGCTAATTTTAGGAAGTCTAATTTCTAATGCTTGTATATGCCCTCTTGCTTTTTATTTTTTATTTTTGGCAACAATTAGTATTGATTTATGATATGAGCTCTACTTCACCTTACTGATCCAATCATGTGTGCCTGTATAAACATGTCTGATCTGATTAGTATGCAAGCTTATTTTTTTTATTTGGAGTTTTTAAAATATACCAATAAAAAAAATAATTCCTAAAATATTTAAGTTTCATGAGAGAATGAAAAATGCTTTTTTTTTGGATAAAATATCATATTTCCATTAAATCAGAAAGAAATTACACTTGTGAAGGCGTGGGATGCTGCCTCTCTCGAATTGTGCCCTGTTTTGCCAATCTATCCGCAAAGGCATTAGCTGATCTCCTCACCCACTGTCCAGTAACGGACCTATTTTTTTTTTTTTTTTTGATCAATAACACTTTCATTAAATCATCAGTAGAAAATTTACAGGAGGAAGACAAACACACTTATCTTCCAAGAGCCACAAAGAGCCTCATAAAAGGAAAAAAAGAAGGAAAAAAGACGACACTAAAGTTACAGCTTAGCCCAAAACAGTGAATCCCTTTCTGCCCCTTGTTTAGCTAAACCGTCAGCTAGGGAATTAGCCGATCTTTTAACCCAACATGTCTTAACTTCCATCTCCCGCACCAGTCACATGAATTTCCTCCTCTCATTGTTGTACTTCCATAAACCATTTTGATCTTTAGTCAGCCACCCTATCACCACCTCTGAATCCCCTTCAATTATGAGTTTCTTGATGTTCAACTCTTCAGTTTTCTAGACTCCTTCCAAAACTGCAAAGATCTCAGCTCTAAGGGAGTCACCCACTCCAATTGGGCCTGAGAACATGGCAGAGATGACCCCATTTTCGTCCCTAAAAACACCTCCAATCCCCGATTGCCCCGGATTTCCCCTACTGCATCCATCAAAGTTTAATTTCAAGAATCCACTAGGTGGGGGAGTCCAAGCCACATTCATTACTGCCTTGGTCTGTGTGCAATTTGCAATTTCACCCTACTTCCTCAACATGTCATCCACAGTGTAATGGACTTTTTCCGTGTCAATCAGTTGTATTTCTTTATGTCATTCTTGTAACCTCACACGACATTCTCCGGATTATTTAACCACTGCACTACCTTAGTCCCCTCCAATCAGCAACTGCTCCACACCCAATTCTTTTGCAAGGAGGACCCCTTGTATGGCAGCTGGCAATTCTGCCTTAATAGAATGCCCAATGGGGCATTAGCTGTTTTGCCACGCTATCCACAAGGGCATTAGCTGATCTCCTCACCCACTGTCCAGTAACAGACATATTCCTTGTCAACCAGTTGTATTTCTTTATCTCATTCTTGTAACCTCACACGACATTTCCGGATTATTTAACCACTGCACCATTACCTTAGAGTCCCCTTCAATCAGCTGCTCCACACCCAATTCTTTTGCAAGGAGGACCCCTTGTATGTCCGCTAGCAATTCTGCCTTAACAGAATGCCCAATGGGTCAGAATAGAGGAGGATAACCTCTCCAGCCTCATTTCTCAAAACACCTCCCAACCCAGAGGGCCCTGGGTTGTCCTGGCTACTCCCATTAAAATTCATCTTAAGAAAACCTTGAAAGGGGGGGGGGAGTTTGTAGAAACCCTTTCCTTTGAGGATGAACAGTTTGCTACTGCTAACCAATTCCTCCATAAATCATTAAAAGAATCTTGGTGAAACAGTTCCACAGTCTTTAATGGTTTAACCAGTGTATTGCTCTATTCATAATGCAGTCCTTCAAGGCCTCTCTGCTCCTCCCCTTCTCTTGGAAGATTCTAGCGTTCCTTTCTTCCCAAACTGTAAATCAAAGCTGCTCTCGCTCACCTCCACATGCTTCTTCCCCTTTTATGGGGCCAAGAGAGAGTAGAAGTGTTAAACAACATACATACTTCTGCTGGCATCTCCCAGCTGCACCTAGAAAGGAAAAAAGCCAAATCCAAAGCTTTGCAATGACATTACAAGATAAAAATAAGTAGTAACAGTTCTTGCCATGAGATTTGCAAAGAGTACACCAGTTAGGTGAGATACAAAGAAGAGGTCTTCTCTTTTGTAGGTTGTCCATAGTGTTAACTTTTCCATGGCACACTTCCCAACATAAAGCCATAACCTTGGGGTGAACTGACCTACATGAAAGGGAAACCCTGTTGAGAGGGTGAGTTGCAAAGTGATTTGTAAAAGGAACCACAAGAAAAAAACCCTTTTGGATGAGGGGCCCAAATCCTCTTATTTGGCTTGGAAGGGTCCAACCAAACTTTTGGAAGGAGACAAAGCAAATTAGACAAACACTGAATTTCCTCATCCCTTAACCCTCTACAGAAACCAAAATCCCAACTCAAGGCCGACTTTGAAATCATCTCATTTTTAAACAAAGAAACAAAGAACAAGGACAAAAAAGGGCTTTAAAAGGAAGATCCCCTGCCCAAGTGTCTTCCCCAAAACGAACAGAATTACCGGAACCAACATCATACCTGACATAACTGAGGAACTGTGGGAGAAGTTTGCGAATTACCTTCCATGGAGTTGCCATGTTAGCCCTCCTTGATGCACCGGTATCCCATCCGTTTTTTGAGCACCCATGAATACTCTGCACCACTTCATGCCAAAGCCTCTAATGAAAAATGCTTTTATTTGTTACCAATGAAAGAAAAGCTTTTGTTTATTTGGGTGATAGTCAGATATGCATTTGATCAAACTGAAGCTCAAATGTAATATAGAATTGGGGCAGCTTCTAAAGCTGGTTTCTTTCACAACTTCTTGTTGTAATCCTGTGTTTTTTTTTTGTTTTTTTTTCTAATTAATGAAATCTCTTTTCTGTGTTGCTGATAAAAAAATAAACATTGAGAAGCTTTGGTGAATTTCTAAGAACAGTGTCAGTCAAAGTGCACAATAATGATTGATCAAAAAAGTGCACAATAATGCTTCAAAGTATTTACCAGTAGGCAGCCGAACTATAATTTGAACTGTGCTAAGCTGGATTTTAGTCTTATGAAACTGGCTCCAGTTAGCTCTCTGTAGTATCCTCATGGTTGTCAAGGCACCTAGGTGATTCTGGGAAGTGGGATGCCTAGCTGTCTAGCAGTAGTTGACTAGGTGACACCTAGGCAATAAGATTTTCATAAAATAAAAAACTAAGTTTTACCTAGTTCCCTAGTTTAGTATACCATTTCGACATGCATATTAATTGAAAAAGATAACAATTCTCTTTATTAAAAACATTATGTTTTCTCTCAAAACATGTCAAATGGAATGGCTGATTCATTAGCTAAGGAGGGGATCCATAGGCGACAGCTGTTTTTGGCACAGTTGTAGTTTCTTTGGCTTTGTTGAAATGTTGGCTGTATTGTAACTTGGCACCTGTTTGGCACTGATTAATAAAATTAATTGTTTTTTGCTGATAAAAAAATGGCAAATCATCATATCTATGACAATAGTATTTCAATTATATTGATTTGAATACTTTCAAAACTAATACTAATATACAAAAAAGTGCCTTACCTTTCAATAAAGTACCTATTGGCCTAGGCTCCTTTGTATTGTTATTTGATTTAATAAAGTACCTTACCTTTTACAAAAAAAAACTAATACTAATATACATAAGAAACTAAAGAAGGTTACAATTTTGTATGATAAAATTTAAGATAGAGAGTGTAAAAGAGAAAACGAACAAGGGTGGGGCTGCTGTTTTATTTAATGTAAGAGAGAGAGCGAAGATGGAAAAAACATAAAAAGAAAAAGAAAACAAATCCCTTTATATTTCTACTTTTTTCGTTCTTTTTCTCTTCTTAAAACCCTTGGATCTCCTAATTTTCAATAGTAAAACTTTAAAACAAGGTATAACTGATATATCTAGCATATAATATAATATATTAGGACACATGTTAGTAAGATGTTGGATCATGAATGATAATAAGTGTCCACCTTGTTATTTTTGTTGCCGAGGTGAGGGGTTCTTGTTGCTATAAGGTGTTTAGGTGCCTAGGCGACACCTTGGCAACCAAGTATCATATAAAATCAATATATCTTTATCTGTAAAAATCAAAGAGCATTCAACTTTATGTTCAAGGGGTTGCTTTTGAAAACGTGTTCTGTCCATTTGTTGTGATTTGGAGCCTAGAGTTTTTGATTTATGGGTTTGTTTTTTCTGAAATTTTTGTTAATGATGTACATCCCCTTACTGTATAGAAACTGATGTACATCCTGGGGTTTTCCCCTTTATCTAATGAAAGCCTCCATTACTTTTTTTTTTCAGAGAAAAAAAACCCTTGCCTATAAAATAGTTGCTTCACATGAAGGTACCCAAATAGAAAATTGAATACATAAAGAGAAAACAACAATAATCTAAGGGACCTATAAATAAGATTGTTAACTGAATCAGAAAAGATGTGACTGCCATCATTTTCTAGGTTGAGGCTGCAGTTGACACCCTATGGTATCCTTTAACAATCAATATACCTTTACCTACAACATCAAAGAGAATTCAACTTTAAGTTTTCTTAGGCAGATGAAGTGATGAGAAGAATTCTCAGTTCTCTTCCCTGTTGGCTTCGAGTGCACAAGGAGTTCAAGGGGGTTGCTTTTGAGATCATGCTGTCTGTCCACTTGTTGTGATTTGGAGCATAGATTTTTTGGTTCATGGTTTTGTTTCTCTGAAATTTTTGTTAATGATGGACTGCCCCTTACTGTATAAATGCTGATTTGCATCCTGGGGTTTTCCCTTTATATTTAATGAAAGTATGCATTTCCTTTTTTAATAAAGGCTATTGCCTATAAAATAGTTGCATAACATGTGAGCTACCTCAATTAGAAAATTTGAATGCATAAGCAGAAAACAAGGATAATCTAAGGCATCTTTAAATAAGATTGTTACTACATCAGGGAAGACATGCCTGTCATCATTTCCTAGAAGCTCTGACAGTCATAAGATGATGTAAGCCTTTGCATGAAGATCGTTTGGTGAAGGCACATCTGTCCATGCATCTTTCCGCGTGAAGATGAGTTGAAAAAAGGTGAAAAGCTCCATTTGGAGCTTCCTGAAAATAGCCTGAAGTGGGCTTCCTGTGTCTTTTCGGGGCTGTGGCTTTCAGCGGCTAGATCATTTCCCAACCAAACGGGAAAAGACCAAAATGCGGGCTTCCAGGCTTCTAAAAAGCCGACAGCCCGTGCGAAAAGACGCCCCAAATGGGGCCTTAGTCTATTGTAATTGGGCTTCAGTCTTTCAGAGAAGAACAGTAGAACCCTTTTTTATTCAAACTAATTTCCAGAAAGAACTAAAGAAGTAGAAGGATTCTGAATTTCTTCTTCTGGAAAGGTCATGAAAGAATTTATGATCCTCTATTCATTTGGAGTTTCATGTTAGGAAGAAGATTAGGTAACGAAGGATATATGACTTTTGAGTCTGTGGTTTTATTTAGATTTGAACAAAAGTTACCATAAAAAAATGGTTGGAATAAATATGAGTGGGGTTTCTTGGTTTGCATATTTTTATTTTCCTAAAAAAACTTTTCTGGTAATAGTCAAAATGGGGCATACCATGTTTATCTTCAGGATAACATTTGTTGGCAAATTTTCTCTAATGGATACATGGTCTGTGAGTGTGGGAAGATTTATTATATTTCCAATCATCATTTATTTTCACAAATGATGGCTTGGGTTTAGATGATTTTCCTTCAGTCTACTTATGTGAAGAGAGAACACCTATCCCTTGTTTGTCTGCCAATAAAAAGGACTTTGTGACATGATAATAGGATGGTGGCTTTGTTGGTACTTATATTATTAACTACATAAATAAGATCTGCTTCTGTATAAGCATCTATTTCTTTGGATGGAGACATGGAGTATAACTGGTTCCCAGAATTAGTTTTTAGTTTGGCAAGAGGCCTTAACTATTTGACTTGTTTGGCCTTGCTTCAAAGGGCGTGGCACATGGCTACTTGAAGGTGGCTCGTACACTCAGGAATGTAATATGTTTTACATCACATTAGCTACTTGAAGTCAATTGAGCAAAAAAAATAAGATTGTGGGTTTTACATTATTGGAAATGTTTTATATTATTTTTAAATTTTCATTTGAATACGCTTCACATGCCATGTTTAGGTATTTTAATATTAGATATTAGGTTTTTTAGAACATTTATTTTAAAATTTAAGTCTATATTTTTTATTAATATTATGTTTAATATTTTGTTGGCTTTTTTTTGGAAATTTTTGGCATTTTTTTGAATTTTTTGACTTTTTATTTTTTTAGCATTTTTTTGTATTTTTGCTCCTTTATTCAAAAAGGTGCACACCTCGCCTTGCGCCTCGGGCGCAAATTGGCTCCTATGCCTTGCGCTTTTAAAACACTATGGATGGGGAAAGACCAATTAAAATTTTGCAATTAAGTTGTTACTATGAGGTTACAAATTTATAGAATATAATGAATTAATAAAACATGCATCTCCTACTTGGGAATAATTGGTACAGTTGAATAGTTTTGTTTTTTTTTTTGATAAATGGTACACTTGAATTGCATTGCATGCAGAAATTGCATAAAGAATTATAGAATAACACTCCAAAATCTAGATCATAGAATTAGAGTTTCATATATCTATATTGTAAACTACCATATATTTTTCTTTTTATGAAGCAAAGCTGCTTCGATATTTTAAAAACAAGAGGGGAGCGGAAGCACAACTAAAGAACAAGAGGATAGCAAGGGGTTCCTGAGACTGGGATGCAAGACTAGCTGCACATTTATCAAAAAAAGAGGCCTTCACTATAAAAAATAGTACGATCATGATCCAATCCGATCCGGTCCGATCCGAAGTCCAATCCTATTTTATCGGATTATGATATCCTCATTTCAGATTTTTGAATCGGATTGGATAATTGGATCCTATTAAAAATTGGATCAGGTTGGGTCACCAGTATCCAATCTGAAAGTTTCATATCCGATATTTATCAGAAAATGTGTGTGTGTGTGTGTGTGTGTGTGCGTGTTATTTATATATACATATATATAACATATATATGCTATTTATTTATTTATAAATATGTTATTTATATTTCATTTTTGTAAAATTTTTATATAATATATTTTTTATAAAAATATGTATATATTTGATGAAAATAGTTGAAAGATTACTTTTATTTTTTGTTTTTCTTTATTTAAACTGTTATATTTTCTTTCCTTTTAATAATTTATTTATTTTTTAAAAAATAAATCGGATCAGATGAAATTCGGATATCCAGCATCCTTATTGAACTCAAATTCGGATCAATATTTGTGAGATCTGATTGGATCTACAATTTATCGGATCAGATTTGGATATACCCTAATTTGAATCTGATCCGTTTTGTTTGCATCCCTAAAAAAGGGAAAAAAACTGCAAGAGTCCTTTGTCTTTGTATTCGTAGATGCTTGAAACGAGTATTTCTGTTAATGCTTAGAAGCTCTTGATATTTGCTAGCATTTAAAAGATGAAGGTGTGGCAAATGGTGCTAGGCCCTCTGGCTTTGTTAGGCAGAACTGTTGTAGCATCAGACTCAGAGTTGACTTTTTCACAAGTCCTTATTTTCTAAAGAGAAAAAGTGGGCCATCACCTATATTGATCCTTGCTATTTGGGGTATTGGGAGTGTGGACTGGTTATGGGCCTAGCAATTGTATTTTCTTGCACATAGTGACCCTATCTGACTTTTTACCTGTGTTCTCATGCTTGTCAGCCCAAGGTTTTACCACTGCACCAAGAAATGAGTTTGAAAGGCCTGAGCCTTTCAAACCTTCAATTATGGTGGTGGTTAGGAAGTTACCCATGAGGTATTATTCCTGATAGCTGAGTTAGAGAAGCTTTTGCAAATTTGACAATGCTTAAATAATACATCTGGTTGTTCCTGTTGTTATTAGTATTCTTGAGGTTTACACGTTTTTGACTTTCCACTGAGTCTTATTTTGTGTCATGGAACAATTTATATTTAGAATTAAATTCTTCATACAGGTCAAGTTATTGAGCTAATAGGAAAGGATGGGGAAATGGTTTGTAAAAGCAAATCCTCCCTTTTTTATTATTAAAATGATCCGGTCCTTGTCTGACCTTTTTCCCTTGGAGGATGCTTCCCTGGATTTGCCTTCTGGACAATTTATTTGTTTGTCAAGGTGTGGTGCCATTGAGCTCTGTGTCTTATGGATAACTATGAATTGGCAGTTTCTAGTTAATAGTCTTATGTGGTTAACACTACCTTAGTTTCTGTCATGCTTAGCATTGTTTATTTTACTCATATTGTTCTCTATTATTCCACATGTTTACATGAAATTTATGGTGGCGATCTTTGTTTCTTTTTCTTGTGCAGTGGGATGGGTCCTGATTTTCGAGTATTGGTCCGGAAAAGTAGGAAGCAGGCACAACAGTATTTCAGATTATATAAAGTAACATTTGATTTTTCATAACTTTATTCTCTTTTCCCTCCTTCCATTGATTCCCGTAGCTGCCATTTATGTTTTGCTTCTCATTCTAGTCATTAGATTCAAGGATGCTTTTTGCTCCAATTCTATATCTATGTAAATTGCTTGGGTCGTGATTTGGTCCTGCTATTCTTGGATGAAGAATTGTTTTTCTTTAGTTTCTTTTACAGTTTCCCCCCTTTCTACAGCTTCACATTTGTGTATACTATGATGACCTATTTCTTCCCATAGAATCTCAACTCAGTACTGAAAATAACTTAAGATTTTCTAATATTGAACTTTATGGTTTATTAGTGATATCAGATTGCAGATTGCAAAAATTCTAACCTTCATAATGATGGGGTGAATGCAGGAACAAATCCCTGTTACACAACTTGTTAGGGAAACGGCGGCTGTTATGCAGGAGTTCACTCAATCTGGGTACTAATATCCTCTATTACTACATAGTTTCCATTTGTTGCAGGCTTCTACTGAAAAGATTAGTACTCCATTTGTGGAAAGTAAGCTACATAATTTTTCCAATTAAGGCTCAGTTTGGGAGGAGTGCATACACGTTTTAGAAACACCATATTCTGTATACAAGGTTTTGCACTGAACATATTTGTATTTCCACTCCTCCCAAACTGACCCTAAAAGACTGGACAAATCTAAAAATAAAGCATTCATGTTGTTAAGGCACTGCAACATGCTAGTTTAAACTAACTAGTTGCACTGATATATGGAAAAGGTAAAATCAATGTGAGATTAATGGTCCTTCTCTAGTCCCTTGTCACACAATAATCTAATTTGAAATCAATCAACTAATTTACAAGGGAAATCCCAAAACTTATGGTGGACTAGAAGATTCTAGGGAGCTTTTGGTGAAACAAAGTTGTCTTGGTTGAATCTCCGTGAATGAGCTTTGTTAATTAGCCTGATCTAAACTCATCCTCTCTTAACAATGCAACATGGTTTACCTTTAAAAAGGGGAACTGATGCAATTTTGATTGATTGGGTATGAAATCAAACTTTGCTAGTGATGGAAAACAATATAGTATTGGTGGTTCAATTCCATGGTGGCAGTGCTGGAAAGGGCTGGAAAAGGTTGTTGAATGGCTGGTGAAAGAGGAAAGGAGTGGCTATCAAATTGGATATGGAAAACGCCTATGATTTGGTGGATTGGAACTTCTTAATTGATATTATGAGGTGTGGTTTTGGAGATTTGTGGTGTAAATGGATTAAGGGCTGTTTACAAACTAGTCACTACTCAGTCATAGTTATGGGACATTGTATGATTTCTTTGAGGGATTCCGTGGGCTTAGGCAAGGTGACCTCCTTTCTCCCTTTCTATTTACCTTGATTGCTGAAGCACTAAGCAAATTGATTTCTCGAGCAAGTTGCCTACAGCTTTTCAGAGGGTGGTCAGTGGGGAGAGATAATATTTTGGTCACTCACTTGCAGTTTGTAGATGACATTCTAATTTTTGTGATGGAGATTGTAGGGAGGGGGGTGGAAAACTTGAGGTTGGTTGTGAAACTCTGAGAGGATGTCTAATTTGAGGATTAATTAGTCAAAGAGCTTATTGGTTGGAACCAACATTGAAGAGGATGAGTTGAGGTTTTTTGGTAGAATCCCTAGGTTGCGAGAAGGGTGAGTGGCCAATGAAATACTTAGGTCTGTGAGATAACTCGAGATTTCTTGTTTTTGGCCTCCGGTGGTGGAAAGAGTCGAGAAATGATTGGCAGGGTAGAAAAGGAACTATATCCCGATGGGGGGGGGATAACTCTTATTAAGTATACCCTAGCAAATCTTCAGTATACTACATGCAAGTGTTCAGGATGCCACAAGGGATAGTGAGGAAAATTGAAAAAAATCATGACAGATTTTCTTTGGGATCTAGGGGAAAAAAGAAAGATCATTTGGTTAGATGGGAAAAGGTGGTGAAATTGAAGGAAGAAGAGGGTTTGGGAATTGGTCAGTGTTTTAAAAGCACAAGGCGCATAGGTCAATTTGTGCCTGAGGCAGAAGGCGAGGTACACGCCTTTTTGAAGCAAGGCGCAAAAATAAAAAAAAATGCTAAAAAATAGAAAATGTCAGAAACACAAAAAAATTACAAAAAATTAAAAAATGCAAAAGTAAAAAATATTAAACATAATATTAATAAAAAAATATAAACTTTAAGTTTGAACATAAATGTTTTAAAAAACCTATTATCTAAAATTAAAATACATAAACATAACATGTAAAGCATATTCAACTGTGAATTTAAAAATAAAATCAAACATATAAAACATTTTCAAGCATGTAAAACTGACAATCTCTTTTTTTTTTTCCTCAATTGCATTACTTAACGTAGCTAACGTGATGTAAAACATATTACATTCTTGATTCTATGAGCTGCCTTTGTGCCACACCCCTCGAGGCAAGCCCAAACAAGTCCATGTTAGGGTCTTAAATTCTTAGTTTTCACACAAGAAATACTGATTTTATAATTTTAATTGCCTTTTAAGAAGATATTTTAGTAGGATGAATGAATGAACAACATTACCAAATAGGAGGTTCTCGGAGGTTCAAGGGTAGGCCTATTTTTAATTTCCTAAGTCAGCCTTCTCACCTTCCAGGGTTGAATTGGAACTTGGGATTTAACAGAAACATCAGAGAGTTTGAACTTCCTATAGTGTCTGAGCTGTTAGGCTTGCTGACTTCAGTGTTCTTGGGGGAAGGTGGATCAGATTCTAGGATTTGGAGTCCTAATTCTGATGGGTTGTTTTCTTGTAAATCCTTCTTACACTCGTTGGTAGCCACCTCCTCTCATCCTTTCCCAATCAAGGAAATTTGGTGCTCTCCCATTTCCCCTAAAATCAGTGCTTTCTGTTGGGAAGTGTTTCATGGATGTATTAACACATTTGATGTTCTTCAAAGAAAAAGACCAAATTGGTGTTTGTTCCCCAACTGGTGTGTCCTGTGTAGGTTGAATGGTGAGACTGATTTTCACCTTCTGATATCTTCTCCTTTTGTTAGCTTTATTTGGAATTGGTTTTCTTCCCTTTGTGGTTGCAGGTGGTCTTCTCATGACAGATTGGATGGCTTGTTCTGCCCTAATGGTATCAGTGGCACTAAAAGGAGGGGTAGGATCCTGTGGAGGTGTGCTAGAGCAGTACTACTTTAGACTGTTTGGGAGGAAAGCAAAGCAAGAATTTTTGAAGGAATAGAAAAAAGTAAGGAAGACTTGGTCAAAACAATAATGTTTAGGGTGAGACATTGGGCGAAAAGCTTGAAGATGTTTTCAGATTTTAAGGTTGAAGACTTTTTTAGGGTTTGGGGTGTTATTGCAGCCTCTTCATCTACAAGACAGCAATTTGTTGAGGCATGGTCTCCCCCAATCGATGGCTGGAAGAAGCTGAACTTTGATGGGAGTTGTGTGGGTAATCTGGGCCCCTCAGGCATTGGGGGGGGGGCATCAGAGATGAAGATGGAAATATCATTACTCTGTACTCCGGTCCTGTGGAGCAGGGTGAAGTGGCAAGATCAGAGTTTCTAGCTGCAGCATATGGGGTTGAGAAGGCTACAGATTTGGGTTTTAATAGACTGATCATTGTGGGAGATTCAAAAACTGTGATAAAGTGGTTACAGAGGGGTGAAGGGGTATACATCAAAAAAAGGGTGAAGGGGTGATTTGGCAGTTGAGGAATGAATTCAGGAGGATTTAAATGGCTGCCAAGGGACATGTCAATCCATGTGAGATGGGTGAGGAGATATGCCCACAGTTTGGCAGATAGCTTAGCTAAGCAAGGGGTTGAACGAACACATGTTTTGGTCTCATTTGTAATTTTGGTTTGGGTCAGCTTACTAAAGCTGGTCTCTTTCACAACTTGTTGTATCCATAATTTTTCTATTTAATGAAATCATTTCAGAGTTGCTGATAAAAAAAATAATAAATAGAGGAACAGACATCATAGATCTGTGAAAGAAGCCATAGACCAACTTGGGAAATGCTTTAGAAGAAAATAGGGGTGTGTGTGTGTGTCAACATCACCCGAGAGAGAGGCAGACACTGAACACTGAAAACACCCACTGAAATCAAAAGAGACAACATACTAGACCTCAAACATCCAAAAATCTAATAAACTGAGACAAAGGACAGAAAAGCCCCCGAACCCAAAGATTCCTGCACACATCTATCTTTTGGAACCAAACACTGACAAACACTAGCCGTCTCCTCAAGACCTTCCTCCTGACCTTCGTCTTCGTTGTTCCATGTCTCTCCCCCTCCCCCAGTAACCACTTTCTTCAAGCTCTCCTCTCCTTTTCCTCTCAAGAAACAATTTTGTAGGAGGAATTTGTTAAGGTAATATAGTGGGGATTTAACAATAATCAATTAGAAAAATCCATATGGGGAAGAAGAATAGAAGATAACTAAGTTGAAGATAAAGAGAATGTGACAAAGTTGTAAGAAAAAAAGAAAATGTGGTTAAAAAGGGAAGATTAAAGAAGAAAGATGACTATACCAAGGATGACTTAATTGACAACAAAAGTGGGGGCTTTCCCTATCTTGATGAAAATCTGGGTGGAGCTGGGTTTTAACCAAACCTTAAGAAAACATATTAGATTTTTCTTTATGATTGATGAAATAAAAGGAAGATTTTATTAGAGAAATGGAATATTATAAGAAAGTTATGTTAAGATAACTGAATGAACTAGAATCACAAATTGCAGGTAAATTAGAAATGCTGCAATTTTACAATCATCTGGACAGTACAATATCAAGGATATTTATTACCAATTAAAAATCAGGGTTATTCCAAAATTCTAGTCCAAATGAAGCCGTTTTTACATGCCACAAGGGGAACAATATCCAAAATACTTTTGCCTCCTTTCGTGTAGTGAATGACAGCCTCAATGGAAATCCATTTAGGGTCAGCCAACCTGTATAAAGGCCTTCATCATAGAGCACAAAAGAATGGTCATACAAATGCTGTAACTCTACAGTGAATTAAAAGATACTACATATCTTCTTCATGTTACACATAACATGAAGGATGGTTATCAGAGTTCTTTGCTCTTCAAATGTTCAACAATTAGAATGCTATCCAATGATAGGAGCTATGCAAATGCCTCCACTCTTTGAGGAATAGGATTACCCCATGGTCTCTTTACCCAATGGTTCACCATTGGGTCAAAGTATTTTGGAATGACTTAGCTATAAATCTTCCATTGTTGCATGTCTTCCTCATCAGCATATTTCATATACCATGAGAAGCATCATATTAAGAATTTCAAAACATCACTCTGCAAATAGAGAACACATTCACTTTCCTTTTCTTTTCAAATTTTCCTTTTTACTCTTCAAAGAAAAAACATATTCACTGTTGAGAATTTAGAAGAAAACATTATGCACTTTAATAATGAAGCTTGTAGGTTTGTTTGACACCAAAATATATCTAACACTACATTTATCACATATAGTCCATGTTTGGGAGTGCTTCTTTTAAGTGCTTATTGGGCTTATTGCTTATTAGATTCCAAAAGAACCCGAGAGAGCTTGTTCGGATGTCTAGTAAAGAATGCCCAAAACAATATTTTTTCACCCCAAAAGCCCTTTTTGAAAGTGTGAGAAATTTTGGGCTTATTCTTTAATATGTTTTGGAGAAGCGGTTTTATAAAGAAAAGGCCCGTTTGAAATTTAGTACCAAACACACAAAAGCTGCTGATTTACTAAGCACTTATTAAAGCCTATTTAGAAACAACAATAAGCACTCTCAGACACTGCCTCTGATTTATTGGAAAAAAAACTGCCTTCGTGCTGGTTGGTATGAAGTGCAAAATGTCTGGGGAAGTGTGGAAATATTAGAATAGCCAGTTAAGGCTACGGTCATTGATGTTGGATCACTATGATCCAAGGTGACCTAAGAAGGTGTTGATTAGCTAGAATAGAGTTTAGAGAAGGTTTAGGGACTAAAGGAAGATATCATTTGCATTAGTAAGGGTATTAACTGTAGAGGTTTAATTGCATGAATTGCAAATTTGCCCCAAGATGGTGAAAAACTTCAAATTGAGGAAAATAGGTCTATGATTGAAGATTTTTAATAAAGTTTTTGAGTAGCTTTGGCATAGATAGCTGTAGTAGGCAACCATGTTTGGTAGGACATGGAAACATCCTCTATCCTTACCATATATCTTAAGAACTTAAATGAACTCAATTGATTCTAAACAGAGAGGTGTAGAGATGCTCCAATCGAAGTCATCACCGTAAGAGCGATCCATTGGGTGAAAGGGGCACGCTTGATGAGAAGGTGGAAGGAAGTGGCTAATTCTACTCCTAGTAAGCCTTTCTTGAGGCCCCTTGGTCTCCTCATCAGTGGTTTGATTAAGCTGAACTTCGGTGGTAGTAGTGAAGGAAATCTGGGCCCCTCAGGAATTGGAGGTGTGGGAGATTCTTTGAGGGCTGAAATTCTAGCTGCTTTGGAAGGGGTCAAAAGGCCAAGGAGATGAATATTTGAAAGCTGATAATTGAAGGGGATTCAAAGTTGGTTATAATCTTCCTTCAAAATGAAGAGGATCTAAGTTGGTGGGACTACATTAATGAAAAAAGAAGGTTTACGTGGTTAACGCAGGGAATGGAGGTGAATCTGATTTGAGTGAAAAGAGATGCTAACTGATTTGCTGATGCTTTGACCAAACAAGGGGTGGGAGGAGGTCAATTATTTTGGGATATGTCATAACCTTTTGAAATTGATTGGGGAGAGTTAAGAGAGTTTATCTCTCCCTTCTCTTTGTACTTCCTTAATTTATTTAATGAATACTTTTCACTTATTTTTTATCAAAAAAAAAACTTTGTTGATTCATAACTCCATGTTTCTGCACTTCACAGTCACATACACTGTTTTTTGCACTTTACATGCCACTAATATTAGAAAACTAAGTAATTCCTAGACATCTTAGCCAATGGCTATGGAATTTTAAACACAAACTCAATATGACTATACATATCAAATTCTGAGCCTGACCGTACAGAAATTAGTAAATTGATTAGCCCTGCTATCTAAAAGTATAAAAATATATAAAAAATTAGAAAACTGATCAACTTAACCAATGACTTTGGCTCCTGCATCACTATTCTTGTTGTGTACTGAGCTTCTCAGAGCCAGTGGGGGTAAAGGAATTCTCTTAGAGATGAACTGTTAACTAGTGCTTAGGTTGTCTTTCTCTTTAGGATAGAGGTGGCTATTGATAGAAGGGGACTGCCAAATGGTAATAAAATGGATGTCTTGAAATGTGAAGCTCCATGGCCTTTTGGATTTGCCATTAGAGAAGCAAAGGCACAAACTACTTTCTTGAACAGCTCATTTAGATGGGTTCCTATTATTGGCCAATGCTTTATCTGATACCTTCGCTAGTGCCAGTAGGGATATCAGATCTGATTTGGGGGGGCTCCAGGTCCTTCTATTGATCAATTAATTTGGTAGTATTTTTCACTGGTCTTCCCTTCTTTGTTCAGCTTTTGGCTATTGTGCACTTGCTGTTTTTGTTGCTTTGCTATTAGGAATCACTGGTAATTGAGTTCTCCACCTCGTCTTAACAAAATTGTCTGATTGTTATTCATAAAAGAAAAATGAGTGCTCGGATCAAAATCATTGCTATTTGTGTAAAACATTGAGTACACACTAGAGATAAGTTCCAGCATTTTCTAATAATGATTTTGCTGAGGTTACAGAAGCTACAGAGGTGTGGTTTACAGGCCTATTTGGGTCTAGTTGGTAAGGTGATACTTCGAGGGACATGGTGTAGTTGCTTTTTAGAGGGCTTTGCCTTGCACATTCCCTTGGATATGATAGATTTGAGATGAGTGACTTGTATATTGTTGTGGGTTGGATGAGAGAGGGGATTGATGGCCTTTGGCTTATTGCCACTGTGTCTGAGAGTCGAGATGATTAGCTGCCAGTGTGAACATCATTTTTGCTGGAGTAGAAGATAGGGTCCATGCTTCATGGTTGGATTCATAGTGTCTGTTCTTGTTATGGGTGAATGAGGGAATTATGTTGGACAGTTCTACTTGCTTCTTTCCTTGTTTGCTCTGCTTTGTACTTGATCTTTGATTTCCTTTAATAAATTGTTATATCATTACTGCTAAACAAGTTTCAGTAATATCTATAACTATATTTTTGGAATGCTATTCATTTAGTTATTTTCTTTGTTATGCCAGTGGTGTAAGGCCATTTGGAGTTTCACTTCTGGTTGCTGGATTTGATGACGATGGTCCCCAACTGTATCAGGTACTTTGTTCAAACTCTCTGACTTGGTAACATTTTATCTTTTTCTAGCATGAATATATATGGGTTCTATGAATTTCTTCTTGTTATCTTTTTCTTGCATGAATATATGGATTCTATGAATTTCTTTTTAATCTTCTTTTTCTTCCTTGCTTTCCATTTGGTACTAGGAGGTTTTTCTTCCTTCCCATGGCTTTGGTTCAAGTTTGATAAAAAATGGCTTTGGTTCCAGTATCTTTATATTTACACATTTTTCGGTATAGGCATATCTTGGACACCATTTTTCTCACTGTACCATTTTTGTTGATTGGCCAATTTCAACTCAGAGTTTCAATGTGAAATCTACGAAACATCAGATGTTTAATGTAAATGAAATCTTAGGTTTCTTTAGTTAAGGAAGTAGCCAATAGACCAGATTTATACTTGGGGACTGATCTAGGAGTCAGGTAATAGTTTTATTAGGGAACCTTGTATATTGGAGAGCTATTTCTGGACTAGCAACTTCCCTGCTTTTTTCCTTCCTTGGTACCTCTCTTTTTACTTATTTTAAATAGAAATTCTCTTAATCTGTTATTAGTAATGCAGGGGATAAGTTATCTTTCCTAAGAAATACAAGTCATAAACAGAAAACAGAAAAAGAATGTTAGAACCGGCTCTCCAAAAAAATGTTAGGGCCAGTCACCCATAAAAATGTTAGAACTAGCCTCTTTTCTTTCATGTTTTTTTATACGCTTATTTTTAGATTTGATATGTTTATCAGATAGCTTTTCTAGTCATTGGTCATTACTTCAGTTGTTATGCCTGCAACCTTGACATACTCACAAAGATATGAATTTTACAGTTTGCTTATGTTTTTTAACTTTTTCTCCAGGTGGATCCATCTGGTTCATACTTCTCATGGAAGGCTTCGGCAATGGGAAAGAATGTCTCCAATGCAAAGACATTTCTTGAGAAGAGGTACCTTTATACTTTAAAATAGATATGGGATGCCATCAACATTCTGAGCACAGTAGTTTAGGTGGCTCCTCTATTCTTGGTTTGAGTTTGTGCTATTATGTTCCGTAAAAAATTACGAAGGTCGATCAACCCTTCTACTTAAATTGATAGAGTATTCTTCATGCATTAATGCAGTCAATTTAGTAAGCCAAAATGGATACTTTGAGGTTGCAGTTTTTCTTTGCTATTTAGCTTTTACATAATCAACAATGTCATCATCATCATCCCAACTATATGGGGTTGGCTACATGAATCCTGTTTTGCCAATTTGTTTTATTTAATGCCATATTCACTGTTAAATTATTAGTGCTTAAATCATTTCTTATTACTTGTACTCATGTCCTTTGTCTATCCCTAGCTCTTGTAGCCCCTTCAACTTGTGACAAATCAATTCTTCTAAGTTCTAACTGGTACTGTTTATGGTCCTCTATGCATCATGATTTAAAATGTCCCTTAATTCCCTAATATTTCTATGACATTTCCATTTCCATGGGTAGTGACACGAAATTTTACCGGAATTGACATATTCCTCAATGAACACTACCAGCACTATGTGGAGTACAGGAGATAGTTTCCGTGACATATTTCCATTTCCACTTCCATGGCTAGCAATGCAAAATTTTACTGGAATCGACATGTTCCCCAGTGAACACTTCCAACACAGCACCATAAGGAGATAGTTTTATAACATAAGTTGGTGACAATATTGGAGATATGTGGAGTAACAATGTTATTTCTTGCCTAACTTACATGATTACCACTTTGAGCAGCTCAATATACATTTAAAACATGAAGTTAAACATTAGTTTTTTTGTGTATTATATAAAATTTGGTTGATCTATTACAACCACTTACATTTTTTTGAGTTTAAATTTTTCGTTAACTCATTCTATTATAAAGTTCTGAATCTTAAGGTTTATAGGACCACTTCAAAACAGATTCTTTTCTCTATTACCTTACTTTCTCTCATTTTATGACTTGGAGCTACTCCTAGGTTCTTATGGATGACTTCACTCCTAATCCTATCCTTTCTAGTTTTTACACTCATCCACCTTAGCATTCACATTTCTGCCACAGTTATTTTCCTTTTAATCTAGATGAACCACTCCATTTTGCCCATCCTGCTCTAAATCTGTAAGTGACATCTTTAATCTCTCCCTTGTTATGAATTGTTGAACCAAGGTACTAGAATTGTTCACATTGAGTTATTTTTTGGTTTTCAGTCCCAAGTGTGTCCTGATTTGCGCTCCTGTAATTACTAAACTCGCATGTCATATACTCTGTTTTAGTCTTGCCTATTTTAAAACCTTTTTTTTTCTAAGGCCTTTGTCAATTAAAATTATGTCATCTGTAAACAACATGCATCATGGAACATTTTCTTGAATATGCTTAGTCAATTCATCTATGATCAGTGCAATATAGGTAAGGGCTAAGTGCTGAACCTTGATAAAGACCCATCGTAATTGTAAAATCTGAAGTCTCTTCCACTGGTGTTCCTAACATTGATTATTACCTCCTCATACATATCCTTAATGGGGTCTGTTTACCTATTTCTAAGTTCCATTCTTTCTTTTTCTCCTATTGTGGAAAGATATTCAATTCATTCATTGAAATGAAAACAAGTTGTTCCAATGTAGCTATCCAAATCCGATGCATAGTGACAGGTGACACGCATAGGTGGTTGAGAAATGTAGCGATGACACTGATCAGCACCACAAAATCAAAGTCTGAGCAATTTCAAGAGGACTTGGAGCTCCGTCCTTGAAGGCCAGAATAGAATTTTATTGTTCTTGCACAGGGTTCTTTTAATGATAATGGATGCAGCAGTGATGGTGGCAGTTACTATTGGTCCAAGGTTGAAAATGATCAAAGAGTTTTATGTATAATACTATAATTTGATTAGACTGTAAGGGTATATTAGACATTTAGACTTGTCCGTTAGAAACAACCATTAATTCTTTTGATAGGGGAGGTTTTAGTCCATTTTAAAAATAGAGGGGTCTTAGTACTTGGTGTACATGTCAAGGGAAGTTTTAGTCTTTTACCCTTCTTTGAAGGTACATGTTATTTTTAACACTACTAGTATTGCTAGATTTCCATCTTTCAAAACAGAACCTGCAATTTCTTTCATCTAGACTTGAGTATTGTGCATTGGCTTATTTTTGTCATTATGGAACTTTTTGTCCTTTTGTCGGTAGAAAAACAATGTTAGTTAAAATTTCCTTTCTACTGTAGGTACACTGATGATATGGAGCTAGATGATGCGGTTCACACGGCTATTTTGACACTAAAAGAAGGGTATATTTAATTTTTTGTTTTACAGATAACAGCGTATGTGATGATCAGTTGGGAAGGGCTGTTGCTGTATATGTACTATATATATTTTGTAGACATGCATAAGAGAAGAGCTGATTGTACAAGTTCCACTTGGTAGATGTAGGCCACATAGTGATCCCATTGCATTAACCATTGCTCAGCTCTTATGAGTGAAGTTATTTTATTTGGTTAGTTGGGATACATGCCCTACTCATTTTGAGTAGAGCCATCCCCAAATTAATTAAGTTTTGTGTCCATTAATATTGTTTCATAATTTCTGTATACTGTGGCTAGTAGGGGATAATTGCCTATAGGTTAGGTAGCTCTTTTTACTATTGGTAATTCTTGACCTAACATTGAAAAAGAACATATGTTAGGCTTTTTCTAGAAGATAATCCATTGAATATGAATAAGTTCTTAACTGTGAATGGCTTCTTTTAAATCTTCCTAATATTTGTACCTTTGCATGAAATTTTGTTAATCATTGAAAAAAAGGAAGGAATAAGGAATAAAAAGAGAATCATGAATGTTTTTTTTTTCCTTGCTGCTCTTGTTTCTTTCTTCTGCTTGAATCCTAATTCCATTCCTACTGATGACTTGTTCTGCATGTTTGTAGGTTTGAAGGACAGATTTCTGGCAAAAATATTGAGATTGGGATAATTGGCACTGACAGAAACTTCAGGCAAGTCTTTTAGTTCCTTTGACGTGGTTATAGAATGTCCCCGTTCTTGTTGAAATTTTCTGTACTGAACTTCATTCAAGGGCATTAAATCCCATGTGATCAACAAATGCCCTCCTTTTTGATCAATTAACAGATCAACCGGAATTTTCAAAGTCTAAATAAAATAAGAGCTAGCTGCTTAAAACTGGCTTATGATTATACCTGATGGTAACTAATGTATCTCAAAAGATAGTGTTGCCCTCCCCGGCTCCTCCATGGGAGACCCCAATACAGGTCATCTCTATTATTTCCTCTTGATAAAGAATCAGATGTAGAGTTTGCTGATCTGAATGAGGTTCATATTAGATGTCAAAGTCTGGCTGCCTCTAGCATGTAAATATACGTTAAAATGCTTGTTTGTCTCCCTTTCCAGCTTTCCCCTACTATTTTGATGAAATTATTAGCTCTGATTTGTGACAGCGGACAACTTTTACTTGGGTAAAAGTAAAACATCCTATGGTAGTTTATAGACACAATCTGGTATTTCATAAGTGAATTAGCTAAACAAGTAACACTGGTTGTAGAGAATAATTATGAGTTAAAGAGGTGAGGCATTCACTTTTCTTCGGGGGGGGGGGGGTCTGAATAGTTGGGTGATTGCCTATTGGGACACAGATTGGGGACTGGGCAGGGTTTGCATAAGCCCCACTTGCCATATCATGAAGCCTGCAGTTAGTGTTGTTTTCATCCCATGTCTCACACAACTAGGGAGATGCCTAGACTATAGCAAATGTTTGTATGCAGTTTCTTTATTTTTATTACATTAAGCCATTAAGACCCTGTTCGTTTGCCACTTTCTTGAGGTGGGAAAGTTTTCCCATGTTCTCTTGCAAATGTTTGTAGGACCCACGGAAAAGATACATTCCCCTGGGTAAATAATTTGGCCATTTACTTGGGAAAATGAAAATCTTACCCACCTCAGAGGTGGGTAAGTTACTTTCCCATTGTGGAGAGCAATGGACCAACTTTAATCTGACAAAAATACCCCTGAAGGATTACCAAGTTGCAATAATCTTTGTTTTGTCATTAATGAACACTCAGCTAGTCTATTATGTGGCTGAAACTTAAAGAAACAAAAATTGTTATGACATAGTTGCAAGCATAATGATTATAATCCTTCAGGATTATTGATTTATTGGATAAGGTTTTATTTAAAATTGGCAATAGAAGAAAAAAATGGTCATCTTACCTAGGAAAATTGGTGAGGTGAAAGAGCATGGGTAAGTTGGGGTGTCTCGTTTATCTGAGTGAATTTCAACAGAAAGAACAGAGATCAGATTTTGGTCCCACAGAGCGTGCCTCACACCCTCACAGCACAAAGCATCCGTGCGTTGAGAACATCTCCCATACTTGATATTATCATTCATGGGAAGATGTTCCCAATGCATGGCTGCGATGCACTGTGAGGATGGTGTTAGGCGTGCTCTGTGAGGAGCACAGATCCAAACTCAAAAGAACATGGGTAAATAAACTTGCCTAAGTAAATTTTATCTGCTGGGTAAATGAATTTACCCAAGGTAAGAAAGATAGTGGCCTAACTATTACTAACTGAATAAAATGCACTAAATATTTGAAGAAATTGTGCTATGCTAGAAGTGCCCCTCTTATGTAAATAAATTGTCATATTTATGATTATGTTCTGTATCTTTTTTTGGCTGTGGATGGATCTTGTGTTGGAGTTGTTCTCAGCCCATCTCCTTGAGGGAAAGTATGGGGAACTGCCCCTCTATGAATGAACTGGACATAACTCATCCAGGGAGGGAAGAGAAGGGGCTTCGTCTTGAGCTATACTTTCTGGCCTCACTTATAAAAATATTATGGTCTGCATCTTAATAGATTTTATTATGCTTTTTTCTCCCGCTAAAAAGAAATGATTCTATTATGGTGGCGATATCATATATAGAAATTTTATTGAAGTGTAAGATAAAAGATAGCACCCCAAGAATCCTGGCATTGGGACATGTTCAGCATGAAGCTGACGGTCGAATACAGAAAAGAAAAGCAATGCAATGCTTAAAGTCATCCGAGATGGTTTATTTGAATGAATTCCGGCTGTTTTTGTTATCTGAGAGATTGAAAGAACCTAGAAATTAAAATTCCACTTCTTTTACCAAAAAATAGAAGCATAATGCGGACAGTGTATTACAAGTTCATTTCACTTTTGAGCATTGATTCTATTCGTCTCATGAACATCTTGCACCAACTGTATTTCTTTGCTGAGGGAAGACTGATATTTCAAGGTGGTTTGTTTCAGAGTACTGACCCCGGCTGAAATTGATGATTACTTGGCTGAAGTGGAGTAGTTCGTTTCCTCTACATGCTAGTTGCTAGGTTAAAATTTGCTTCACCGGTGCCAGTTTTAATGTTTTGCATTTTCCAAGGATTCGAACTGTGTGCCTGTTCTCAATTTGAATTTATTGTATTTTTCAATTTTTATTTTCCATCAGTGTCACTAAAAAGGTTAACTGAATAGGGTTAAATGGTAGGGAATGGATGGCAGAATCTTTTTTGCTTTGAACTGTGTGCCTGTTCTCAATTTGTTTCCCTTCCAAGGGGAAATGGGATGGTTGAAATCGTTTATGCCTCCACATGATTTTACAATATTCCTTTTCCAAAGGTGATCATGCATGCTGGTTAGAACTGAGCTCCAAGAAAGCAGTCGAGCAAACTTTCTCAATGATGTGGGTGTTCTACAACATTAGGGTTTTATTTTCATTCGTTTATCCAAGTCGTAACATAGATAATGGATGGATTGATGTTTGAATTTCAAATTTTACCAAGTCCTAATATTATTAGGTTTTCAATGAGGTGGCCTCTGGCCCTGAAGCCAAGTTCAATGGCTCCAAGAATAGACCTCTCCACCATTTCTAGAGTTTCCAAATGACAGTTGAATGAACTGATGGTCAAGTGGCAAACATCTTTTGGGCTGAATCTTACTCTGTATTAAAGGGAGCCAGCGGTAAGAGGACGAGAGCCCTTTTGGACCCATACATGCAGCCATGTGTCGAGTTTCTGCTCTTCTGAATTTACTGGTATACAAATCACGAAATGAAATCAAACTGGTGCAGGTTTAGGATGCTAATTGACACGAGTGCATTTTTGGTAAATGTCAATACAAAAATCAGGGGTAAGATTGAAACATGAAACATTGTGAACCAAGTGGAAAATATGAATGGATTTAGTTGCTTGTGCTTTGTACGAGTCCTTTATGAAGAATAGTCAGCCAGGACAACTGCTTTCTCCTCTCATTGGTGAGTTGGTGGTTCAACCATCCGGGTTATCTCCTAAGTTTTAGGAAATTGATTAACTTTACCCTTATTGTTTAGGTATTTTCAAGTTTTCTGATAATTGGCTAAACCCTGCACTGTTAGTGTTTTATCAATCTGATCAAATATGACATCACATGATGTATAGATATATATTTTTTTTAAATCCAATATAATCCTTTTATGGTTGATTTTGCCTTCCATTTTTCTTCAAAATTTCAACATCTACCTTGTGGATAAAAACACATCATTCAACATTTATTACGTTGAAGGTCAAAAACACACATGGCCATGGAGCTAAAGCTATGATGACATCCTTAAAATCTAATTTGTGGTTGGGAGATGGTCCCTCCTGTTCACCTATTTAGAGGACTTTGGAGCAACCAAGAAGGGAGATGATCCCATTTAGTTTTTGGGTTGTAGATGGTTTCGTTGGACATCTTTATCTATTGGAAAGCTTTTCCAATGGAGAAAAATTCTATGAGAAGATCAGCAAGGTGTTATTCAAATGTTGCATGCTTATTGAAGTGTTTCATTTTGAAAGTTTTAAGAAAAATGATTTGTAAAATAATCTTTTTCATATCTATATTAAAAGATACTAGTGATAGGGGAGGATTTGATCAATTGTTAGAAAACTTAGGGCTACTAACATCAATTTCTAAACAATAGGGGTGAATAAATCAGTTTCCTAAAACTTAGGGGTATTTTAAGAGATTTTCCCTTATTAATTTATTATTATTAGTGACAACAATACTTAGCTGCTTTTGTAGAAAAGTTGTCTTTAATATCATGTATTCATCAAAATAATGTGTGATAAATGAGAACTATTGTCATTAACTATGAAAATGGCTAAAAATACAAAAAAAGAAGAAGAGGAAATTAATATCTAAGTTTTAACCAACTGATTAGGTCAAACAAATGGCGGGCGACGGTTCTAGTGAACAAATGGCAAGAAGAAGAAGATGAACATTGTTTTTTTCCTTTATTGATATTATTTTTAAAAAGTTAGCTAATTTTGATTTTTTTTAAATATATTACTTTTATTGATATTAAACCCCAAACGTTGCCCTTATATGCTAAAAACCCAAAGATCTATTTAAAATAAACACTAGTCAGGCCTCCTGTGATGTATAAACTTTGTTAAATGAAATTGAAGTAGCACTCTAATAAGTTTTTATTTTCATCATTAATAAGAAAATCCTCATTTATCATACTTATTTTTTATTTAATACAATGAATATATAATATCATGGGCATGTTAATTTTGTATATATGTCGATTATGCAGATTTTATAAGTTTTTTTTTTTTTGTTGTGTATATTAGTTTTGTTAGTTATGGATGTTAGGCCATGTTTTTGAGTGCTTATGTTAAAATAAGTGCTTAAAAACAAGTGCTTATTCGAATAAGCACTTATTTGCATTTGGCAACTAGCTTTTTCAAGTGCTTAATTAAAAAAATAAGCACTTATTTTATATTGGGCATTTGGTGGTCTTTTTCTCCAACAAGCACTTAGCACTTGTGACTCTTTTGTCCATTTTTTCTTCAAATTTTCAAAACATTCAATCCAAAGTGAATGAATAAAATTACTTTGATAGAAGTGAGTTCGCAAAAGTGCTTTCATAAAAGTACTTTGATAAAGTGTTGGCATAAAAGTGTTTTCATAAAAGTGCTTTTGTAAAAGTGATTTTATAAAAGTGCTCGTAACAGTGCTTTCATGCAAGGTTCAAAGTATCAACACGTATCGGCCCGTATAGACGATATGTATCATTCTAGTATCCCTTCGGTATGCCCTTATAGTGGGTGTATCGGGGGTCTGACCGGTTTCAGAAAAAAATAAAAAAAAAGTAAACAAAAAATAGTATCGATTCGCCCAATACGCCCCTATCGGCGTATCAATATTTTGAACCTTGCTTTCATGTAAAAGTACTTTCATAAAAATGCTTTCATGTAAAAGTACTTTCATAAAAGTGCTTTCATAAAAGTTATTTTATAATAGTACTTTTATAAAAATGTTTTTTGTAAAAGTACTTTACTTTCACAAAAGTAACAATGTTGTTGATGAAAGTAACAATATTGAAAGGGTATAGTTGTATTCTAAAAATGTACTGGGAACAATTTTGGGAGAAAAAAAATTGAATAACTGCTTATTGTATGAGCACTTAAAAAAAGTTGGAAATTTAGGCTTAAAAAATAAGCCATTATTTTTAAAATAACCACTTATTCCTCAAACACCAATAAGTGCGTGTGGTCATAGCCCAAATAAGTACTTTTTTGGAATAAGCACTTATTTTTAACCACTCCCAAAGATAGCCTTAGTATATATGTTAGTTACATTACTTTTCTAAGTTTTTTTTTTTTTTTTTTTTTTTCCCTTAGTCTCCAGACCCAAAGGAGTTCAGGAGGCAAGGTGACATGATCTTTGACTTCCTTGCTGATTATTATTTGGCTTTTACTTGTGGATTATGTCACAAATAAGGTATAATTAATACATCACCAACTAATAGTGGGTTCAATTGGTAATTTTGTAGCTGAGCCTTGGGATCAAATCCCGCTGCCACCAAGTGGGGCAAACTATCATAAACGAAAAAAAAAAAAGAAAAAAGAAAAAAAGGGAAAAATATAAAAATATCCATATAGGTTTTGTTAAATGAATTAAATTGAACTAGATAGGTTTTTCATTTGCATCATTAATAAAAAAATGGGAAAATTCCAGATTAGTATCCTGTACTTTGGGTCTAATGCCTCTTTGGTCCCTGAATTTTAAAATGCAAAAATTTAGTATCTCAACTTTCAAAATGTGCCAATCTAGTACCTGCCATTAACCAACCCGTTAACCAACCGTTAAGTGCCATTTGAAAAGACACATATACCCTTTGAGTGTCATCTAATTCTCTTTATGAACCATCCAAACATTGACAAAAAATAAACAATCTCAAATCCTTGCCTCTTTTGTTCAAGAAAGTTGGGATCACCAGAATACCTACTGAAAAGTAACCCCAACTTTCTTGAATAGAAGAAGCAAGGATTGAGACTATTCATTTCTATCAACATGTGGATGGTTGAAAGAAAATTAAATGACACTCAAAGGGCATTTTTGTCTTTCAAATGTCACTTAATGGCTGGTTAATGGATTGGTTAACAACAGGTGCCGGATTGACACATTTTGAAAGTTCGGATACTGAATTATCAGTTTTAAAATTCAGGGACCAAAGTGGCACTAGGCTCAAAATATAAGATACTAATTGGAAATTTTCCCTAAAAAAATCCTCCTATACCATACTTATTTTTTATTTAATACTATGAATACACGATACCATGGGCATGTTAATCTCTTATGTAATTTTTTTCAATATTTGTCAGGTGTGCAAGTTTTATAAGTTTTAGTTATGTTAGTTTTGCAGGAGTTCAGGAGGCAAAGCGACATGATCATCAACTTCCTTGCTGATTATTATATTGGCTTTTATTAGCAGATCAGGTCACAAATGAGGTAAAACATATCACCAACTGATGGTGGGCTCAATTGGTAACTTTGTAGTTGAGCCTTCGGATCGAATCCTGCTTTCACCACGGTTGGGGGTTATGCAAATAAGAGATGACCTATGTAACTCCATGAAGCGAAAAAAGAAAAAAAGTATAAAATATCCAGTTAAAATAAACACTAGGAAGGCCTCCTTTGATGTTTAGGCTTTGTCAAATGAAATTTGAGCAGTACTTTGATATGTTTTTCATTTGCATCATTAATAAGAAAATCCTCATTTATCATACTTAATATTTAATTTGTTTAATATAAAGGGTATGCTAATTTTTATGTAAATTTTTTATATATGTCAGTTATGTAAGTTTTATAAGTTTTTCTTGTTATATTAATTATGCGAGTTATGTATGTTTGTTACATTAGTTATATTCAAATTTTCATTTTTTTTATTATCGAGGCATCAAGAAAGTTCCTCACTTTCTTTTAAAACGCTCAATAATGATCTTCTTTCTAGATTTCAACTAATCGATAATCCCTGGTGGTCTTCCACTTAGCAATGGGAATCAAGGGCAAGAGGAAGAAAAGGGAAAAAGACAAGTATATGTATATATGAACCTGTAACGGTGGACACAGTGAAGGCAAGTTTTAATGAACAGCTCAGACGAAATGGACAGTCTGAAGAACCCATCAGGAACTATAGCTATTTGGATAAGAACACTCTCGATGGAAAGGCTCAGTTTGAATAATAGAGATTTAAACAGTGGGTTCGGTAGTTGTTTCTCCATAACCCAGTTAATATTTGTAATGTGAAGGCTTCTAGTTGTAGTGATA